GGATTGAACAGATCCTTATCTGAATCCCTCTGAAGGTCCGATGTCTCACCTGCTATGTGCAGAGTCACTGGCTGGCTGTAGCTCAGTTGAAAGGAGGCGTCGTCCCGGGCAGCTCGACACCAGTACTGCCCCCTGTGGGACAGGGCAGCGGACTGGATTGTGTATTGAGTCCCACTGCCAGGGGCCGAGGTCTTGGTGCTGTCTTTGTACCAGGAGTAGAGCCAGTCAGAGGACCGAAGCCCAATATCACAGCTCAGAGTGACATTGTCTCCTGTAAAGAGCTCTGTCCCGGAGGGCAGCAGGGTCAGACGTGTCTCTGGCACGGCTGTGGACACAGAAATAGAGTGTTCATGGGAATGATCAGCAGTGCTGGGATAAAGATATTTTCACTCATATGTACCGAATGTCTGGTTCAGTCTTGATAGAAAATGCTGATCTCTCATTGTTCATTCACGACAGGATTCATGACATGACATACAGTAAAAGATGGTATTCCAGGAAGAGGGAAACATCACCACCAGGTACAGAGCAAGATTCCTCCATATTCTTACCCCACAGCTCCCAGCATGACTTTATGCGGCTATTGTCAGTGTTAACCATTCCATGATGTACTCCTTCTTGAGAAACAGGTGCTGTGTCACCAGAAACATGTAAATGAAGTCATGGTGTCCTTCTTCCTCAGGATGGGGAGATTTGTTCTTTTAGCTCACTGTCATCACAGTGGAATGAAGGGGTGGTGGACAACATTGCTGACAACAGTTTAACGAGAATGAGTGCAGCCGGAGCACTGTGCTCCCTGCAGTGTGTTAACACTCACACTGGCAGGATGGCTGAGACGCAGGCCATGTGGCCAGCTCTTACTTTTGAACGATGTTTTTAAGGAAATGAAAAGCGTGCTATTTTAAACGAGCATGCTGGCTGAGCTTAGCGGTTTTAGAGGTGGCACGTCTGTGGTGTAATTCAGAATAAGTATGAGATGGGAGATGGGTGTGCTGCTTCTGATACTGCTGAACGGCGATAAGTCTGTGAACATCTGTGCATTGTTCAGCTGCGCGTGTCTGGCCAGATGATACCAGTAATAGACACGAAGCTCAAACCACAAAGAGAGAGACGATGTGACAGAACCACAGCTGCATCACCAATGCGCTTTAGCTTGAAAAAAAAAAACACATAACTTTTCACATCAATTTCTAACACAAGAAAAAGACCACTGTCTTACATCATCTTACCCGCATTGATGTTAAAATGTCTACAAAAATGCTTTGACTGTTTGCAATGTTTCTGAACCACAAGTTTGAGATTATGAAGTCAGACTCTCTGATTTTCCTCCTATTGTTTAACTTATTTTGACAAATTAAAGTTCCCAGGCAATTTAGCATATAATACGAGAAAGGGATTGACAAATGTAATTCAGAAGAGGTTTGACTGTAATACTCACCGGAAACGTGAATCTGGATGATGTCGCTGTACTCTGAGTAATACTCCACTTGTCCTCTCGCTGCCCTGCACCTGTACTGGCCAGTTTGAGACACAGCAGCGCGAGAGAAGGTGAGAATGGAGCCGGTTGGCTCATTTCTCTCTGTCTGGCTCACAGGGTCTCTTTCGTTGTTTCTGTACCAGGAAAACCTCCAGCCGTCAGGCTTTCCCTCAACCCGACAGTGTAGAGTCACTCTCTCTCCAGCACAAACCTCCCTCCATTTCGACTGCAGGCTCAGCCTCACTCTCGGCCTGCCCCCTGAAACAACAGCGTTCAGTACAGCATTATCATCCTCACAAAATGACCTTGTCACAGAAATAAAGTCCCATAGTCTGTACAGTACAATCTGGAGTTTTAGGAAATTGTCAAAATCACAGAAAAAAGTCAGCTATTTGCATCTTGCAGCACAGGGTGCAACAGCAGAGCACTTTTAAAACACTCAGGTGAAAAATGGCCAGAAACATATTTGATGAACAAACTTTTGGTCAGCAGACCTAATAATTATTCCCATAATTATTATCCTTTTTTTATTTTATCCTTGCTATATGCATGATATAAACTGTAACAATGATCAAATAAATCATTTTCATATAGATGGAACTGAGATGGGGACTCCTTGCTGAGAAGGAACCAAATTCTAACATGATCAGGAAAAGGAGGTGAATACATAGATGAGAGAAAACAAATCATAGGAATAATGCCTTGATTGGTCAACAGTTAAAACCAGATACAATGATGGTTTCACATGCTGTAATTTTTGGTTGGGATCAATTCACATTAATGCTACATTTCTGCATCTGCTTTCATCAGTGAATCATGCACAGCCATCACACCTTGTGTTTATCAGGACTGTCTGCATAGTATTAGGAAA